GATTTCCTTCAAGGCGTAGAGTTGTATTACCACCATCTGCAGCAGCTAGAAACTTACTAAAATTCAAAGTCCTCAAATTTCCCTGATTCTTCCGTATGTACCGGAGACGATGAGTTTCAATCATGGTATAAGCATCTACCAAAAATTGTTGAAGTAATCGCCTTGAAAACAATAGAACTTGAGAACCAATCTTACGGATTTGAATCCGATATGCAAAAAATTCTCTCATGCTGATGTTGGGTTTCTTATTTTTGGTCACACCCGTATAACCATTCCTAATGCCAAGACGGAAACCATCTTCACCGTAAGGAAAAATAATTGGATACTGAAGTGGCAGGTAGCAAGGATGCAACTCGTTGATCCTCTTTAGCTTACCCGAACATTTTTCCAAAATGATATCCCTTTTGTCCATATTGAGCTGAAAATCACCTACAACCAATGCTGCAACCTCCGACGAAGTAGGAAGATTGTATACTCGACCATCTTTTTTCCGATCGTTAATCAAAACCAAAGACACTTCTTCGCATTCTGCGTCATCGTTAAACCTATCGATTGCATTCCGGAACGTCTTAACATGAACATTACAAACCCTTAGCATTTCCATGATCGACTCCACTAAATCAGCTCTAATTTTACTCCTCTCGCCATTGCCACTAATAAAAGGACAGAAGAATGCTATAACCACAACATGGTTTTTACCATATAAGAGTAATAAAAAAGTATGTAGGATAAATAATTTTGAAAAATAAATAATTACCTCAACGCTGATATCCTGTTTTGAACTTCGTTCTGAGTATCATGAATATACAACTGAGAAAACTTAGCAGATTCATTCGCGGTTGGCTTCATACTCCCAATCAAATGATAATTCTCTCCATGTAGTTTAAAAATCTTTGGACCTTTACCGTTGTTGACTGAATTATCAATCTTTCCTCCAAGGGATGTAAATGAGAACATCATATTTATTGCTCGAATGTTGTCGCGAAAGTGCCTACTAAGCGGATCATCATTTGTAAGAAGACCAAGAAGAAAATTAGGAGGCTCCTTAAGAGAAGGAAGTTTAATTTTTCCTCTGAGACAACACATAGTGAAAACAGGTGTTCTTGATTTCCTGTTTCTAGCAATCCGCTCGTTATACCAAAACAATGCTCCACATCGAGGACATTCGTTTTCTAGATCACCATCGTCTTCGTATTCTATAGAAAAGGGTAGAAAATGTAGTTTTTAAATTGATTTAACTACAAGATAATAATGTTTGAAAAAACGTTAAGGTAAAACTATATATATTACCGTACCTGCTTCTACTACCTCCATTGCAAGTGGTGACACAACAGATGTATCTACCGCTGGAGATAGGTCCCCAAAAAATTGTGCAAAACAGCTTGCTACACGCTTGGTGTATGCCTCACGACTGTGATCAACGGGATGTTCATCTTCAGAATCGGGATCAGATTCTCTCTCCACCGCATTATCTTCGTTGCTAGAACAATCCCAGAAGTCTTCAGAGTCTATCAGGCAAAAAATAATAGAAACCCATTAATTATTATGTTTAAATTTGTCAACACATTATCGAGGCCGTGATTAAATATCGTAAAAAGTAGCACTAACCTGATGAATCAGAGTCAAATGATAATATATTAGGTTTCACCGCTGATGGTTTACTCGCACTAAATACAGTGTCAGAGACATTAGTATTGTGGAACTCAGTATCAACGCTAACATGTCCACTGCGATGACTAACATTTGAAAACTCATCAAGAGAATTCTGTGACGGTTTGAGAACAGGAATATTGGTGCGTAGTGGAGGCATGGAACCTAGATTAATTCCCATGTATATACGTACGTCACATAATCAATAAGTTGGGCAACAAAAAGTACTAATAATTATATGTATAACAAACCAATAACTACGCAAAGCGAAGTACTAACCAGTTCGAAGATACGATATTCCACTTAAAGGTTCTTCACTGCTATCAACAATGGCACTCTGTTTATCGTTCTTGTTGACGGGGGGACTCGTGTATGAACCACTACCATGAATAACTTTATTAGTCCGAACTTGGTTGGAAATTGAAGATATGGGCATAGGAATACACGGCCTACCCACTGGTTTCTTCACTGTCTGAGATCTTCCCTTTTGGGAATTTCTCCTTTTCTTAGGGGGTAACCCGGTAAGTGAGAAATTTGTCATTGTACTGTCTGCGAGTTACAAAATCATAATAATTAATATGTTAATAGTAGAGGTTGTTAAAAAGAATAACAAAAAGTAACGTACTTTGAAAAATAAAGGGAGATATGTTCTCTTTTTCATATGAAGGAGATATAAAATTATACTCGTCTGAAAGTAACGTACTTTGAGTTTGAAAGGGAGATATGTTCTCTTTTCCATCTGAAATAATACTCGTCTGCGTGGATGCATGAATATCAATTTCAGTAAGATTGTTTGTAGATGAAATAGTTTCAGGAAATTTTCTTTTATGGCGCAGTAAGCTGAGCCTTTGGGTTCTTGCATCTCTTGAATGGTTAGTACTCGAATTTGATATATCATCCAGTATATTGGTCTTCTGAAGTGGGGAAGGATTGTCTATTGACATGCCAGATCTTGTTAAGACAGGCGGCTGAAATACTACTTGTGTGTCTGCACAACGTAGAACAAATTTAATATCAATGAGAAATGATCGTCTTCCTCTTATCTTCACACTCAGATTTGTACACGGATAAATGAATAATAAAATGATGATGACGATCTACCTTGTCTCCTTCTTTTTGCAGTATTATTGGCAGCGACATCTTCGATTCGTGTTTTTTTCTTCTTTGAATCCATATTGAGATGCTAATCCTAGAATACTCTTCTCATCTATAAGCCGAGTATCAGTTCTAAATACAATATAGTAATTGGTCACTTGATGTGTCATTTTGAATTAGGAAATTCTCGTTTCTATCCAGATTTGATAGACCTAATTAAGGTATTTTTCTCATCAGTCAGTGTGTTGAAATATTGCTTTCTTCATCAACGAAATATTGTTTTTGGGAAGTTACATTAAATGTTATATTTCGAAATAAACAAACATATATTTCATTGCATTTTAATTCGGGAAAGTTTACCTAATAGTTTAGCAATTATATATTTAATAATATCTTTAATAATGGTGTCCTAAGAACCTCTTATAACAAATTATCGAATATGTTTTTTTTTTCCTTTAGCAAATAATCTCTTACATATTTTACATTTCATTTACTTCTGGCTAAAATTCGATTCTATAATATGTTATCTAATGAACAAAACAATGATATAAATATAGGAAATGAAATTATGTTAAGATATATATATATATATATATTTATATATAATTTTTTAATTATTCATATACTTGGTATTACAGAGAAATATATGTTATGTAGATTTAGAGAAATATCACCTTTGTACTAAAATTATATCGAAAAAAATTGTATTTACCAAAAAGAGTTGACTGAATCATCATAATCGAACTTTGATGAATAACAAAATGGAATAAGATAATAAAGTAGCCTTTATTAGGTATGAGACTGTGTATCATTAAAATTTCATAATCATAAATAAGGACACATGGTTCAAATATAATAAAATAGGTAAAATAAATAAAAAACGTAACAGCCAGAATAAAACAGCTTGTAAGATTTCATAGCAGGTTCCATAATTATTGCAAAGCAAAAACAGAGACCAGTTTCGACCTTGAAGATAAAAGACAAACGTTATGCTTTTTCTTCATAATGAAGTGTTTTCCAAGCTTTTCCGTTGACATCATATATAAACCTTCTTGGTGTCTCTGAATAAGACAGATATTCCCCTTGATTATGTTGTTGACACCATTCGATCAAAGGCCTTTGAAATTTAGAAAAGCTTCTGCTTGAATTACCCTGCGAATAAGGGTATATGACAGAACACATATGTACTGCGAGGCGATCATCACTGCAGGTAACCAGATGCAGAAAAATTTAGCAATACAGTTTGATACTATTTCTATAATTTATCATTTAAGAAATAAGGAGAATATACTATTCATACCGTAGCTCCAAATTGTATTTTTTAATGACATTTCGAAAGAGGCTTATAATGTTGAAAGAACGAATGCCTAGAATTAGATCTTAATATGTTAGTAATAATTATCAAAAATAATAAATACACAATTCATTTACAAAAATGAAAACATAAAAGTAGTCAGTACGTACCTTCGAAAAATACCGGGAATTCTACTGTGTGGGAATAGCTGAGTGGGCGTCGCCAAAAATCACTTAGTTGGATAGGAGTACAGTCTATGAAATCATATATGTTTTCATCTTTCTTTTTCCGATATCCTCCTCCCGAAAGTATAAGTGAGGAAATCTCGACTACTTTACAATAGCGTTCTTTCACCCATATTACCTTGTAAGGTTCGAGCTCTGTAACGTAGGTGAAAGTAGACATCGGGATGTTAGACTTGGTGAAAAATCTATGCAAGTTGTTTCTGGCAATAAAAATTCGCTATAAATACTATGCTGGTTTTCTATAGTTAAGGACTGTAAAAAGATCAAAAAATATTGATGCATATATAAAGTAACCATATGTATTCTAATTGATAATTATTAGGTCAAGAAAAATTATTAGAAGATATGTTTAGGTATTTTGTAGATATTTGAATTTCCATACTACAAATCAAATTACTTACTAATATTAATTACTTAATAAAAGTTACATCATTTTGTTCCGAATCAATTAGGAGAATGTAATTAATAAGTTACCTAATACTATGCTGATTTTCTATAGTTAACAACTGTTAAACTGGTCAAAAAATATTGATGCGTATATAAAGTAACCATATGTATTCTAATTAAAATTTTCAAATTCTTTTAAATGGATAAACTCGAGATCTTCAATAAATTTTGTAGGAGGAATTTTCTATTTCCATTAAAAATAAGATCCAGATTTTTGTAATAAATATTGTGTTCCCATAATTCTCTTGTCTAAAAATCATTAATATATATCAAACCGCCAGTAGAGGATTTTCGAAATCTAGGTTAGATACGATTGAGTGTTAGGAAAGGCATATCAAGTTCACATATAAATAATACATTCTTCTTTGTATCGTTGGTCAAAACACATTTGGTATAAGACATATTAGTAATTCACTAATATTTTGTTCTATGGAGAAAATATTAAACATCTACCCTATTAATACAGATTGCAAGATTTATTACACTTTACATGTGAACTTGATAAATAAAGGTGAACAGATTGCAATATTTATTTTTTTAAAGCTTGATGATGTGATAGGACATGATGTTGGATGACACATGTAAAATCTATTTTTGCATGGTTCATATAGTATTGTCATCTCAGTTGAAAAATTACTACATGCTTTTGTACAAAATGTTCTGGATGTATCTTTTTTTACTCGTTGCTTTTGTAACAGGATCATATTTTGGTAAGCATAAAAAATAAGAAGAGTTTGTCTTTATAGACAACACCAATCAAAGACTTTGTCCTCACATGATTTTTATAAAACTTATAGCTGATCTACTTTGCTTGTTTTTCGAGCATTTTCTTTTGAAACACAATTAATGTTTTATTTATTAACAATTTTCATAAACAAACTACCATAACTTATAAACGGTTAACTACCTTCCCTAACTTATAAACAACAATTAATATAATGTTTTTAGACATATAATGGCTCAACCGAGAAGGAAGAGAAAGGAAGAGAAGTCATGGTAAAGTAAAAAGAAAACACAAAAACCAAGCCTACAGAAGTATAGACACAAATCAGGCATGGACCAAGTCCCAAGCGGATCAGTCACTCTTGCATGCTTCTCTTTTAACCAAAGAAAGTTATTAGAAAAGACAACTCATGAGGCATTGCTCGAAATAAAATTATTTCCGCCTATAAATGCTACATGATTCATAGCCAGTTCTACAATATTCAGATAACTCACTTCCCCTAACTCAAATAGAACATCTTCTCGCAAAAGGCTAATTCCATTTTATGATGGCATCCCAACACTCAATCAACAATTACCACCATGCTCACTTCAACAACGATTCCGACGTCGACGACTACTCTAATCCTGACCCCTCTAGCTATTTCAGAGACATGAGTCTCAGATATTTTGCCGCCGCACCGCTAAGTATGGTTTGGGAGCATTATAGACTGAAGGAGTTATGTTTGACGCATGACAATCCTGAAGCTCATTATATTGAGGGCATGCTTCGATTCTTCCACCACAAGGATGAACCCACAGGGCTGTTTCATCTACGTAAATCCGCCCTTCTGAACAACAAAAACGGTATGTATCTTTACGGAATATTAATGCTTGCCACTGGTAATTCTCGAAAGGGAAAAAAATATTTAGATATGCTCCATTGGTGGGAAAGAATTTCTACTACAGAGCATTGCTGGGCAAGAATCCAAAACTCAGTCAGAAATTTCGATATTCCTATGGATAATTCATGGTCTAAGAATATGGCAAACCTTAGACCACGGAGGATTTGCAATGGACATGAGGATGGAGAAGTGTGCGCGTACTGTTACTACTACAAAAGGCTTAATCTCTTTATCGAATTCGTGAGGAGTAACAATTAAAAAGTCCTATGTACCGTATGTTTAATGTACGAATAATCTCGTCTCATTTTACTAATTTGTTTACGAATATCATAAAAACAATGTTGGCTTTTCCTTAATTATTCGTATCTCGTCTCATTTATCTAATTGGTGTATGAAGAGCATAATAAAATATTTATGTACGGAAAACTGTTTTCTTACAAACATTTGTAATTGTTTTCTTAGAAACCCAATACATTTAAAACGACATCTTGCGTTTTCTGCAGTTTTATTATACGTCGTATTACTCTTATAGTTGACGTATCAATTTGATCCTTGAAGCAAAACCATAATTAACGATAAAGGAGGCTTTCGATAAATACGACGTAAAACGTCAAAAATGATTAAACAAACATGAGAAATGAAAAACAAAACAGAAAGCGGAAACAAAGAAAAACGGGAACGAATGAAAACTAATAATTAAAATGTCTCGAAAGCCTCTACTCCTGCATTAGAACGTCCGACTCTTCAGCCACTTTTGTCAACCTTCTCCTTCTTGATTCTTATCGAACCTGATTCCCTGGTAACTGAATTCTGATCGAATTCCTCCTCCAAATTAATAGTTGGTGATCGGAAACGTTTAGCCGGTGTCAAATCAAAAGCCTCACTTTGCTGTGAAGATGAATCAGTTAACATCAGAGATCCCTGGAATATCCAAACCAATGTAATTTAGAACAGTTTATTGAAATATATAACTTCTATATTTTCAATAACTATGATGCTTAATAGGCTAAAACCTCGGGTGCATCCGATATGGCGGACATTTCAGCTCCAATAGTGTTGTGACTGTCCTCCTAATTAATTACATAAGAAATCATTAAAAGAAGACTAATTGTAATCTATTCGTAGCTGAATAAAAAGACAACTAAGAAAAAATATAAATACGCAAACATTAATACCTTTTTCGAGAGGTTATCCACATACTCTTCAATAATATCCCCATTAGTAACTATCTTCATAACCTTAAAAGTATCATGCTTGTAAACAAAGTTCTCCCTTTCAATTGCAATCTTGAATAGATAGGTTTTTCCAATCAAATTGGTGAGCTCCTGTGGGAGAACATCTGTCTCGGCAAACTGAAATAAATACAGCAAAATATTTTAATTTATAGAACAGAGACGACATTAAGATATTACAAAAGTGGATAAAAGAAACCGAAGACAATACCTCATCTTTTGAAGGATGACCAGTAAGCTCGATGCAAGGCTGCATGAGAAGTTGCATAGCATGGTTGTCAAACAGCATAAGCTTTGTGGTGGTTGTATTATCAATCACAACCATATGCAACTTGTACCTATATCACATTAAAAATATTCGTAATTATTATGTACTAAAATTGTGGACCTCTAAACTTAAAAAGACTAAATATCATTTATACCTGGGAAGAATTGTTGGGTTATGATTCTTGCATTTAACACAGTAGTAACTGTACCCAAAGACATCTTCATCATCTCCCCCTTCAGCACCATCATTTGGTACAGTCAAAAGCTTCTTAGCACATTTTTTACAGCTCAAATAATACCAACCCATATCAGAATCAATAGACTTAATTCTGCAGACTATAATAGCTTTCTCCACCTTTAACATTTCAAAATCAAGAATTTTTATATGATTATCTTTCTGTAAGATACCTCTTAGGTAATAATCATTTGTTGAAAAACTAAACCTGTTTAGTTTCCAACACTTCGGCAATTGACTTGTTTGGAGTGTCTAAAAAGAAATCATCCTTATCAGTGACACCAGCAGTCAAAGAAAGCGGCTTATGATCGACGATGGCTAGTGGAGGCGTGTTAGAGGGCAACCTATATAATTAAAACATTATAGATATATATGTTCAATAAGATTGAGAAAAACAAATATTTGTCTTACCGTTTAATAAACTCATCCACTTCAGCCATAGGAGGATTCAATGAGACATCAGAAACATTGTAAGCATTGGAGATGCTATGATCATCTGATTCAAACATAGACAAATGCAATTATTTTCTCATAAATACAGTCTCAATCAAATGATATAGTATATTATAATTAAAATAAAGCTCACCTTTCCAAACTTTAATCTTTCCAAACCTAAGCACACATATCACGACTTGTTCACTACGATGCTGAATTGCATCATTAACATCAAGCGCAAACCTTCCCCATAACACCATAGGGAGTCGATCATCACTTGATATTTAAAAATAGAAAATTTCATTAGAAAGTCAATAGATGCGACCAATAAATATTGTATTATGAATGAAAATTAGTATAGTACTTTGAATCAGAGAGTTCCAAAGATATCTTCTGGGTATCTTTTCCGTTAACGGAAACAATTTCGACTGGACTAACTTCAACAATCTGTCCAATAACATCTGCGAGACAGATATATAGTTGTTTAGATAACTATTATATGAATCCATCAAAGTGAAGCTANCTCTTCAATAATATCCCCATTAGTAACTATCTTCATAACCTTAAAAGTATCATGCTTGTAAACAAAGTTCTCCCTTTCAATTGCAATCTTGAATAGATAGGTTTTTCCAATCAAATTGGTGAGCTCCTGTGGGAGAACATCTGTCTCGGCAAACTGAAATAAATACAGCAAAATATTTTAAAAGATAGAACAGAGACGATATTAAGATATTACAACAGTGGATAAAAGAAACCGAAGACAATACCTCATCTTTTGAAGGATGACCAGTAAGCTCGATGCAAGGCTGCATGAGAAGTTGCATAGCATGGTTGTCAAACAGCATAAGCTTTGTGGTGGTTGTATTATCAATCACAACCATATGCAACTTGTACCTATATCACATTAAAAATATTCGTAATTATTATGTACTAAAATTGTGGACCTCTAAACTTAAAAAGACTAAATATCATTTATACCTGGGAAGAATTGTTGGGTTATGATTCTTGCATTTAACACAGTAGTAACTGTACCCAAAGACATCTTCATCATCTCCCCCTTCAGCACCATCATTTGGTACAGTCAAAAGCTTCTTAGCACATTTTTTACAGCTCAAATAATACCAACCCATATCAGAATCAATAGACTTAATTCTGCAGACTATAATAGCTTTCTCCACCTGTAACATTTCAAAATCAACAATTTTTATATGATTATCTTTCTGTAAGATACCTCTTAGGTAATAATCATTTGTTGAAAAACTAAACCTGTTTAGTTTCCAACACTTCAGCAATTGACTTGTTTGGAGTGTCTAAAAAGAAATCATCCTTATCAGTGACACCAGCAGTCAAAGAAAGCGGCTTATGATCGACGATGGCTAGTGGAGGTGTGTTAGAGGGCAACCTATATAATTAAAACATTATAGATATATATGTTCAATAAGATTGAGAAAAACAAATATTTGTCTTACCGTTTAATAAACTCATCCACTTCAGCCATAGGAGGATTCAATGAGACATCAGAAACATTGTAAGCATTGGAGATGCTATGATCATCTGATTCAAACATAGACAAATGCAATTATTTTCTCATAAATACAGTCTCAATCAAATGATATAGTAAATTATAATTAAAATAAAGCTCACCTTTCCAAACTTTAATCTTTCCAAACCTAAGCACACATATCACGACTTGTTCACTACGATGCTGAATTGCATCATTAACATCAAGCGCAAACCTTCCCCATAACACCATAGGGAGTCGATCATCACTTGATATTTAAAAATAGAAAATTTCATTAGAAAGTCAATAGATGCGACCAATAAATATTGCATTATGAATGAAAATTAGTATAGTACTTTGAATCAGAGAGTTCCAAAGATATCTTCTGGGTATCTTTTCCGTTAACGGAAACAATTTCGACTGGACTAACTTCAACAATCTGTCCAATAACATCTGCGAGACAGATATATAGTTGTTTAGATAACTATTATATGAATCCATCAAAGTGAAGCTAAAGTAATTATAGATCACTTACCAACCAAAAAATCCGGGTCGAGAGTTCCATCTTTAAGATCACGATAAACAACAGGTTGGAATCCATTGACATGTTCTGGGAGATCGTCACATATTCGGACACGAGTTGTAGGAAGGAAACCAATCTTGTAAGGATGGTTGGTTGTACGGTATGAACCGCAAGAGGGTGTCAAGGCGAAGTTGAACAGAAATTTTGAAGATCCTTGTTTCATTAGAGGATCAAACAGTGAGACCAAATCCTTTTTAATGGATGCATGAATTTTATCGCCCTACAAAAGGAAATCAAAGGGAAACATCAAATGAAAATTATATAGAATGCAGAGTTAAACAAAAAGAACTCTCATATAACTTACTTTTGCATCAACCAAAACCATTTCAATGGTCTCTCCACCAAAACTCGTGTATTGTTTCCAAAGTCGTATGATTTTGACCTTAATCTTCCACATCGATTTTTTAGGCTTCAGATCAGAAATGAAATTCATATCTCTCAAGTTTGTAGGTAATATTTTTAGAAGAGAGTTGATTGTGATTCGGTGGTCGTTTCTGCATGATATATATATAGTTATAACTGCTAGGGTTACGTCTCGCTATTAAATGTTGCGATATTTTAGATCAGTATTAAATGAAATTCCGATTCACTCTTTATTTATTGAATTTCAATTAAATTAACCAAAGCCACAGATATATTCACTTTCCAGAATTAGATTAATACGGGATCTGTCATTAAAAAAGAGCAAATACAGTATCCATATATTACCAATTGTATCAATTACTAAACAATCAAATCTGGTTGTTAATTACTCAAATTCTTGAGATGTTTTCTTAGTTTAAATACGGAAATCTCATATATTCTGAAGATATATTATTAAGGTATTTACGGAAATACTTCGAATACTGAAAAATAACTATGATAGTGTAAAATGTGTTGGTCTGAAAAAAGCAATGAAAACAAAGAATATGCTTCATATGAAAATATTCAAAATGAACATCTATTTATGAGGGCTCGATATTGGTTTTTTTTTTTTAGAAAGTTACATAGTAAAAACAACTACATTATTAATGAATTGGAACGGAAATACAAAATACAATATATACAATATAAATAAGTTTTAGAACCTATATATATATATATCGCCTAGGAAAATAAGGAGTAAATATTCTAATTAGCATAGAACACCTAATTTCCGTAAATATGGCATAACAACTACCTGCCGATGACACATATGTGCAATAACATCGGCATAACTACTAATTGAAGGATTTTCTTATAAGACATGACACATATGTGCAAACAACTTCATCATTTTTTTGAAAAAAGTTGACAGATGCTCAGCTTGGTGCGAACTTAGAAGTTTACAAAAGTTATCTGCCTGCTCTTAGTGTCATACTAAAGACAAATATTGATAACTCCAACTCGGACCAGTCAAGCATGCATAAAGCGTTTGTTTTTGTATTGGAATCTTTTGAATGACAATACCATAGCTTCAGCCTTATTATGTCTTTAGTAACTGAAGAGATTCCTTATGTTTCTGATCACAATAGATGTGCACCCTTATAAGTATCGACCAAGTCCACTACTTCTCCACCATCAAATTTCCCTCACAATATCTTTCTTCGTAAGCATGCATTTCCAAAACAGAGCTTGCGTTTCCCCTCAATAACATATCTGACTCCATCTCTCATAAATTATCCTTCTTGGTTACACTGAGTGAACCTTTTAACTTAGAATACTTCTTATCACTCGTTGCGCGGCAATGAATTCCGATTTAACGGTTAACGACTACAGCAGCGAGAGTGATTGTGATTCTTCTACAGTGCCCGGCCCCTATGGTAACGCAGATGAAGAGACCTATTTCAAGAACATCGACCTCAGTTATTTTGCTGCTAATCCACTGGAAATGTTGACTAAACACAAGGCTTTGAAAGAGCTGTGTTTGGAGCATGGCAACCCGGAGGCCCACTACATTGAAGGGTTACTGAGATACTTCGTCGATCAAGATAGAAGTGAAGGTCTCTTTCATCTACGTAAGTCGGCGTTTGGTGACAACAAAGAAGGTACGTATCTCTACGGTTTGCTAATGCTTGCCAAAGGTAGCTATATAACAGGTAAAAGGTACTTGGATCAACTCCAATGGATGGAAAGTCGAAATTTGTCGGATCAATGCTGGGAAAAAATCAAGATCTCACTCCAAGACATGCGTATAGTTTGGAAGAAACGACACTTTCTCAATATGGAGAATCTCGCAGGAAACATAGAATGCAATCGAAATGACTATAGCGAGTTATGCATCCAATGCTTCTACTACAAAAGGCTTAGGCTATTTTATCAGTATGTTATTGAGAAAGAATAAATCGTTTAGTGCTTTGTGGTGTTGTAATTTCAGTTTGTAAACCATCTTTTGGTTCTCTATGTTTGATTGCCTACGTTGTTTGGTTTATTATAATATATGGCATCTTCCCTACGTAGTTTTCTGTTAACCATTAGGCAACCTTATGTAATAATTAGTTAACATATAATAAGAAGTTAAAAATATATAATCGATAAAGCTCTAAATGTTTTCCGATATCACCAATCCATCTATGTAAAAGTTATATACGACAAATAATTAGTAACTATTCACTTGCTCTCCAAGGCATATAATGTTTTGCCTTCTATAATTAATCCAAGCTAAAATAAAATATATATCATAATGGAATTGTAAGTTGGTTGTGTGAGGTGAAATGTGTATAGCAAAAGGTGTCTTCACGTATTATTATAAATACATAATAAGGCTGATCGTAAGAATATTTATAAATACTATGGTCAACATTATTACTAACTTACGGTGCAAGTTATCTACTATAAAAGCTTTAATGGTTTGGTTTTCACATGAATATAACTTTTGAAAATAATATGATGCAATCAATGTTCTTACAATATAAAACCAAGACCAAAATTCTCATGCAATCAATGTTATTACAATATAACTTCTGAAAATATGACTTCTGAAAAAATGAGTATGATATATATTATATAATTATCTTCTGATTATACATTAAATACAACTAAATGTTGTTTTCGAGCTCTATTTTCTTACAATAAGCATTATTATGAACTTATTCGATATCAAATTTATAACCAGTCAGATGAGGTAAGAACTAAGTATCCTTATAATTTAAATGTAAAAATACTTAAAACTTAAAAATTCTTCCAAATTCTCAAAATAATTCTTCCAAATTCTCAAAATAATAAGAAAACACAATGCTTAAGAAAAAAAACTGTTTTTGTTATTCATTAAAATCAAATAAGACTGGACTTCAACTAAAGACTGTAGATAACAGTCAGCCACTTATCATAGTCTTCGCCTTTTTAAACCTTCACGGACGTTGTCCTATTTCCAAACACATGCGTTTCTTCCATGTTTTTTCCTTGACATCATATATGAACATAGAATCCATATCCGATCTTCTTGGCTGTTCAGAGTGAGGGAATTTATGACAATTGTCTATCCACGCTAAAAATTTAGAACAGTACACGGTTGGACAAACCTGCGAAACATGCATCTGATAAGGTTGTTTTTCATGTTTCATGAAAAAAATTTAAAACATGGTACAGCTATAGTACGAAGACATACCATATGATGTTGGTTAACGGCTTCGTCGTTTAACATATCCAAACATGGTATAATATCCAGGACTTTGAATACATCGCAGTTCTTGAGAAAATTATCCTTGTCTATAACAATCTTGAAAAAAAAGGTTTCCCCAAGCAAATTGTTGAGTATGTGTGGGGGGAGAACTGGCTCCTTCAACTAAATATGTGTGCATAAAAAATTTCGACGTCAGACACAGTTATAGATAGCGTTAATATGTAACACACAAAGTTCAAACTATATTGAACTATTTAGTTGTTTAGTAATACCTGGTCAGTGATTGAACCGGTTAACGCAACGCATGGAAGGCCTAATAAAAATTCTGCTAGGGTGTCATCCAGAAAGAACTTGGCGTTGTCAGTATTATCAAGGACGACCAAATTTAAATTGTACCTATATTGACAGAAATTAATTGGTCATTTCATTTTGGACGTATTAATATCGAATGTAAAGGATAATAATATTTTAATATAAAGACAATACTCACCGCGGGAGAACTTCAGGGCGATATGTTTTACATCTGGGACAATAGTAATCACGTAAAACTTGTGTAACATGATATCCATAAACCCTTTTCTCGACATTCTCAGACAATACTTTTTGACTACAGCTTTTGCAAATTAGATAGTACCATCCCATATCATAATCAATGGCAGCAATGGTACACAAAATCATACACCTCTCAACCTGTGTCGTATAAAAAATAGGTGAGATTATGGACATTTTTATAATAAAAAACAACCAAAGGAGGATATAACATAAATGTTGATAAATTTCTTTACCTGTTTTGTCTCCGACACTTCAATGAGTGATTTGTTTGGGATAGTACGGAAGTGTTGATACTTTTCAAAAAATTCTGCTATCAAATTAACAGGGCGCAAGTCCATCAATGCTATCTGTATATCCTTCTTTGGCAACCTTAAATAGTTTAATAGAAAAGAAATTATAATTAAAAAAAAAACAGGTCAAAAATATATTTGGTTAATTATATTTGGCTCTATTCAAGTGGCTTACAAATTGGAGAAAACTTCAACCTCTGCCATATCGGGATTGATGGAAACATCACTTATGGAATAGGCGGTACATACAGTACGATCTGGTGGTCACATAGTAAATATTGGAAAATAAGGATGAGATCAACTCTGAAGTTACACATTTATATATAATACAAAATTTAGAGTTAATGGTGACAAATATTAATATATGTTTACCTCTGAACACACTGATCTTCAAAAATCGTAAAACGCAAATCAAAGACTTCATGCGGTGACGACAATGAACAGCTTCACTAACCACCCCAGCATTTTTACCCCACACATGAACACTGAGACGATCATCACTGCAGAAACAACATAAAAACTCAGTGTTAACACGAATATTGGTTAATAATTAGTTGACTGAAATTAAATCTTACTTTTTATTCCGTAGCTCCAATAATAAATGTTCAGTGTCTTTTCCATTGAGACAAACAATGTTCAAATGACTGGCCCCAACTATTTGACCTATGACATCTACCAAAAACATGAACGGATCAATATGACTTTGTTGTAATAGTTACGGAAAACAGGTTAAATGATTTAACGATATATAATTCTCAAAAGGAATAAGCATCGTATCTCAAGTTTTTTGATTTCTTAACACTCACCAACCAAGTAGTCAGTAGCAAGGTTACCATCCAAGATATCACGGAAAGAAACTGGCTCAAAACCACTGAGTGGGAGAGGCAGATAACCATACACTCGGACACGGGTATTACCAGTAAACATAATTTTGTATGTATGTTTGCTGGTTCGATATGCACCTTCAGAAAGGATCACGGAAAAGTCTTCCATAATCTTCCAATATCCTTCTTTCAGAAATGACTCATACCGTCTTCCAAAATTTGCACCAATAGAAGCATGAATCTTATATCCCTGGTTACAAATACGAAAGCATTAATATAACATAATTTCGAATAAAAGTAATCACACATGTGTAAAACTCACCAATGAATCGCATAAAACCATGTCAATAGCAGTTCTACCATCTGCGAAAGTCTTTTTCCATAGACGGATTATCTGAACTACTATCTTACAAAAATGTGTGGAAGGTTCGAGCTCGAAAACGGTGGTGAAAGCAGACATCGTCATGATATCTTGAAAATCGACTGCTAGGTTATATATTAACTTAACGTATGGTTCTGCACAAATATGGCATTCTATAAATATATATGTGAATTGGCAGTCAAGTAATATCTATTCCTTCCAATATCAATATTGTAAGAATTAAATGCATATATACTCTATCCATATTGTTTGGTTTAACATATATTTCTTTCCAAAATCTAATTAATAGAGCAATCATAAAAATTTATAATTTAAGGAAGTTAATATTTAGGTATATATTCCGTAAATACTAAAATAATAGTTAACTTCTAAAATACTTATTTCCATTTATCATCCTACGAAAAATAAAATATAAATTCTTGAGTCAAGTAATGAGGAAATATTTCCTCAAAAAAGCCGTGTATGAATCCCATTGTCTTTAAATAAACACATTCTCTTAAATAGGGTTTTATAGAACCAAAATGATGATGGTTATACGAACCACGATTTTAAAACCGACTTACTCG